AACATTGACCAGCTGCCTCTTGCACACCCACTACTGGGGATGTACCCGCAACCAAATGTACATGCCCTCAACCGGAATTGAACCTGGGACCTTTCAGTCTGCAGACCGACACTCTATCCACTGAGCCAAACCAGTTTCGGCAACACAGCCATTATTAAAAACTAAACTGGCCCTTGCCAGTTTGGCTCAGTGGTTAGAGTGTCGACCTGCAGATTGAAGGGTCTCAGTTCAATTCCGGTTGGAGGCAGCCAACTGATGCATCTCTTCATATCAATGTTTTTCTCTCTGTGTCTCCCTTCCACTCTCTCTAAAAATCAATGGAAAAATATCCTTGGTTGAGGATTAACCCTTGGAAGGGTGTGGGCTAAGGGGGGGCGGGCAAAGGGTGGGAAATGGGGGACATCTGTAACACTGTCAACAATTTTAAAAAGAAGAGAAAAAATTTGCCCTACCCAGTTTGGCTCAGTGGATGGAGCATCGGCCAGCGGATTCATGGAGCATCATTCATGTTTCTCTCTCCCAGGTTAGATTCCGGTCAAAGGCATGTGCCTTGGTTGGGTTGCAGGCACATCACCAGTAGAGGGTGTGCAGGAGGCAGTTGATGTTTCTCATCGATGTTTCTAACTCTCCCTCTCCTTCCTCTCTGTAAAAAAATCAATAAAATATATTTTTTTTAAAAGAAGAGAAAAAATTTATTTAGATAAACTTACAATAAAGTAAGTTATATTAAAAACAAAGATAATAAGTAATGAAAATTCATCACTTTCGGAGGGGGGGGGAGCGTGAGAGATCAATAAAAGGACTTGTGCCGAGACCAGTTTGGCTCAATGGATAGAGCGTCGGCTTGGAGACTGAAGGGTCCCGGGTTCGATTCTGGTCAAGGGCATGTACCTTGGTTGCGGGCATATCTCCAGTAGGGGGTGTGCAAGAGGCAGCTGATCGATGACTCTCTCTCATCGATGTTTCTAACTCTCTGTCTCTCTCCCTTCCTCTCTGTACAAAATCAATAAAATATATTTAAAAATAAAAAATAAAAAAAAATAAAAAAAATAAAAGGACTTGTATGCATGCATATAAGCATAACCCATGGACACAGTCAGTGAGGGGTAAGGGCATGTCCTGGGGAGTGGGAACAATGTGGGTAAGTTTATATGTACTAGTACCGTAATACTTTAAACAATAAAGAATTTAAAAAAAGAAAATTCATCACTTTCTAATTATTTTACATTTTACTTTATCTATACTCAAAGTTACTTACATCTATTATTTCTATGATATGATAAAAATGTTATATAAAGATGTGCTACTGTTCATCTCTTCCTAAGTCCACATTGGTAGTTTGAATCAGCCATCGTGAGAATACACCATGAAAATCAGTAAATACTACCAATTATGGTTTCTGTCACACTAAGCTAATTGCTAAACATTTATCAGAACACCACTAGTTCAGAGACACTGTTCTGTCTGTCTTGTCATAGGCGCACTCTATCTCTACTGTCATCTTCTGCTCCGCTCTTTATTCCAGATTCCCATTCCAGAAGAGATAAACCACGAGCTGGGTCATCGTTTAAAAACCAATGAGCCCTCGCTGGTTTGGCTCAGTGGATAGAGTGTCCACCTTCAAACTGAAGGGTCCTGGATTCAATTCTAGTCAAGGGCATATGCCCAGTTGTGGACTCAATCCCGAGTAGGGGATGTGCAGGAGTCAGCCAATCAATGATTCTCTCTCATCATTAATGTTTCTATCTCTCTCTCCCCTCTCCCTTCCTCTCTGAAATTAATAAAAATATATATTTTTAAAAAAAAACAAACTAATGAGAGCCTTGGTGGTGTGGCTCAGTGGTTGAGTATCCACCCATGAACAAAGAGTTCAATTCCTGGTAGGGCACATGCCAGTGTTTCAGGCTCAATTCCTGGTAGGGCACATGCCTGTGTTTCAGGCTCAATCTCCAGTAGGAGTTGTGCAAGAGCAGCCGATTGATGATTCTTATCATTGATGTTTCTCTCTCCCTTTCTCTTCTTCTCTATATAAATCAATAAAAAAAAATTTAATAAACTAAAATCCTATATAATAAAAGGGTAATATTCAAATTGTCCCCTCGACCAAGAGTTTGGCCCGAGTTGAACCAGGAGCAGCCCCGCCGGTCAATCTCCTGCATCTGCTCCCCTGAGCTGGGCTGGCCCTATCAGCCCTGACTGGAGCAGGCCAGCCGGATCCTCTCCCCATTCCCATGCATGAATTGGCGCACCCAGCTTCTAGTAAATTAACAAAACAACTAATGAGATAGTAGAGCTGGGGTTAAGGAAATAAATGCACAGTTTGGTTGCAAATGATCTGTAGACTCTATAGTAGAGCCTGTCTCTGGCTCTTTGCTCCTTCCAGGAAACCCCTCTGTCCACAATGCAGGATTTGGACAGTTCAGCAGAGGTCTTATGTAGACAGAACCCTATAGGACTATGAAGAAGGCATTGGTTGTCCTCCAGGTATCTATCTTACAGGTCTATCTTGATGACCAACTGAAGGATTCAAAGTTAACTAAGATGATTCTCATTCTGACACTTAGGGAAGACAATATTTCCCCATGTCTGGCCTACACTCACCTCTGGAATTAATAAATTCTGCAAATTCTAAAATTAGAATTAAAGCATGCAAGAGAGTTGGGAAAATCTTTAGAGTTCATTCAACATTTTCCCTACTCCCGAATTTTACAGATGAAGAAACTGAATCCACACAACAGTTAATAGCTTGCCCAAGAACACACAACAGAATAGTGGCCAAAGTTTAGGGCTCCCAATACCTGGAGCAGAGGCATTCCCTTAATATCTTAAATTCCTTTAAAAAACATTATGTGATCTCTAGAGAATCTGCACAGGAGCAAGCAAAAAGTTTGCACACAAAAATCATACTAATTTCCCCTCTGCTTTCTAGAAAATAAAGGAATATTTTTATAGAGCACCAACTAAAGGTGCTATGGGGATCAAAGAAGCATAAGACCCAGTGGATCAAACACAAAAAGTGAATTTGGAGTTACTTCTAAAACTCTTTCAAGGGATGTGAGGGGACTTCCTTAGGGCTAATTCTAACCCTAATCTGACCCCACAGTGAGTAGCATGGAGATAAACCCTGCACATATCCAGGTTTCCAGTTCATTCCCTGATTGTGATGTGTACAAGAGACAACTGATAGATGTTTCTCTCTCACATCAATGTTTCTCTTTCTCTCTCTGTCTCTCTTTCTCTCATCATTTTAAAAAATGTCCATATTGTATAATCCTCACCTGAGGACTTGTTTTTGAACCCTGCTAACATGGCTTACTGGTTGAGCATAGACCTATGAACCAGGAGGGCATGGTTCGATTCCCGGTCAAGGGCACATGCCTGGGTTGTGGACTTGATCCCCTGTGGGAGACATGTAGGAAGCAGCTGATCAATTATTCTATCATCAATGATGTTTCTACCTCTCTTTTTCTCTCAATCACTCTCTGAAATCAATATAAATATATTAAAAATAAATAAAGTTTGGTAGACCTATATAATGAAATATTTAAATATATTAATATATATCGAGTTAGTGAGAGAGAGAGGAAGAAAGAAAGCATGGGTAAATTAGTGGAGATGTTTCTCTCTCTAAAATTGATCAATAAAAATTTTAAAATTAAATTAAAAGCCAACTAATGCAATGTTCTGGAAAATAAAAATAAAATGTCTCACCCTGAAATCCCTTTGGTGAGGGGATTTCTGAGCTGTTTTTCCTATCCAATCAGGCCTGGGATGCTAGGAAGCAACCCATGGGCACAGGGTAATGAGTCAGGACTGTGACTTCCTGTTTGTACTTTCCTCTGAATCTCTCTAGTCTGCCTTTCCCAGCCTTAGGAAAGTGCTTTACCAACCAAGGAAGAAAATATCTACCCCTTCACTATAATCTTCAGTCCTACCTAACATAACGGTGTCTCAGGTCCTTCCTTCCTTCCTTCCTTCCTTCCTTCCTTCCTTCCTTCCTTCCTTCCTTCCTTCCTTCCTTCCTTCCTTCTTTCCTTCCTTCCTTCCTTCCTTCCTTCCTTCCTTCCTTCCTTCTTTCCTTCTTTCCTTTTATTCCTTCCTCCAGTTCTGTCATTTTTCATTCATCCAGGCATCATCTTAAGCACTAGGAATACTAAGCAAATCTAAAAGACAGATTCCTGCTTAAGGGGCTGATGTCCTTAAAACAAAGTAGTATCAGAAAGAAAGTCTTTTCAAATACAGCTCTGGGTGGTCCAAAGGTTGATTCCCATGGATACAAACAGTTAATAAACTGGAGATCTAACTCTCAAATACAAAATGATAGACCTATTAGTAATGAAAGAAATTCACTAGAGCTTACTTTGGTAGAATGTGCTAGAAGGAAATGCTGTAGAGGTGATCTCTGCAGTGTTTCTGCTTCCTGGTCTCACAATCTTATGACTTCACAGTCAATAAGGGAGGGGGGGGGGAATAGTGTACCCTTAGTTGGGTACATAATTATTAACACCTTAGGGAGCAAGGCAGGGTAAGGGGTGGAGACTCATTGACAGATAAGGGCACTGAAGCTCCAAGGGACAGGTGACCTACCTTCAGGGTTAGGAACCCTGCCTTCTCCATGCTACACGATTCTGAGAAATGAGCCCTCAAGCAGGAAGAGACATAAGTTTGATTTATAAAGGAAAGATATTTCCAGAGTATGGAAAGACTTCAGACTCTCTGTCAGCCTGGGAGGGAAGAAAGGCTGGAGGGGCGGAGTGGTGTGAGGTAGGGCGGGGCTGTTTTTGAGGCTTTGGCCTGAGTCCCTCCTCCCTGGACCCCCATTGGGCCAGTGGCTCCTGCAGCCCTGCCAGTGAGGGACAAATGAGAAGGGCTGTTGATTTTCCCCTCTTGGCCATTCAGAATTTCCCCACATACATACTGAGGAAGACCCTGCCCTCGCCTCACTTTTTCTCTGGACTTGTTCCTGGGCTGAATCTAGTCCCCTAGGGCTGGGCAGGGCCATGGGGGTCCTGTTTATGCTCAGGGTGGCTGTGGGCATATGCTCTGCCACTTTCAGTGCCTCTGCCTGGTAAGTCCTTTCCCCCACTCCTCCCTCCCTGCCAAGGAAGCCCCATTATCTCAGTCCTGTTCACCAATGCCTCACTTTTTCTCTTTGGCAGGTCAGTGAACAATTTCCTGATAACAGGTCCCAAGGTAGGATGCTCTCTGGCTTCTATTTTTACCCATTCAGCTTCCTAAGGGATCTCTTTTGGGTAAGGAAAAGAGGGGAGGGGAGATAATGCCAGAATCCCTCACCCAGAAGAATCCATGATTGTTCCTTCATGGAGAGCTAACCCATTTGAGTTCTGCCTGCTCCCCAGATGACCTTATCTGAGCCAGGGCCGAAGCTCATAGCCCTTTTCCCTTTGCAAGGCCTATCTGACCTACACTACCAGTGTGGCCCTGGGTGCCCAGAGTGGCATTGAAGAGTGTAAGTTCCAATTTGCTTGGGAACGCTGGAACTGCCCTGAAAATGCTCTCCAGCTCTCTACTCACAACAGGCTAAGAGGTGGTAAGTTTGTGTACCTGTACAAGGGGGTATATGTGCATGGAGATGCGCTTGCAGTATGTGTGCATGTGTAGCATATATGTGCACAGTGAAATGAAAAAGTTATAAATGATCTGTTGACCTGCCACTTCCTGGCTATGTGATCTAAGTTACTTCCCCTCTCTCAGCCCAAGTTCTGTTATTTTGTCATAAGACCAGCTTACCAGGAACATTGTAAGGATTGAATGATATATTTAGTATAAATATAGTAATTTCGCTATCTTTTTAAATGCATGCTTATATTTCTATGTTTGCACTGATTTGAATGAAATAAAAATGGGGGAAAGACTCTGCGTTTGTGAGGGAATATCCCATTTGCCCACCAATCATAAAATCCCAGCAGCATAGAAGCTGAGTGATTGTATTGAGATGTGCCTCAGGTGGGGTATATGTTTGCACCTGTATGTGTATCTGTGCAGCATAAAAGTCATTTATATAGGAATAATAAAGAGTTGCCTGGGAAGAGTTGGAGAAAGGAGTAAAGAAGATGAAGACAAAAAGAAATATCTCCCTGTGGGGTATACAGAAAGAAAGGGGAGTGCATGGAAATGAAATAAGACAATGTTTATAAAGAGTTAAGATAGAAGCTCATGCCCTAGCCAGTTTGGCTCAGTGGATAGAGCATCGGCCTGTGGACCAAAGGGTCCCGGTTCGATTCCAGTCAAGGGCACATACCTCAGCTGCAGGCTCCTTCTTGGCTGGGCCCTGTTCGGGGCGCGTGCAGGAGGCAACCAATCAATGTGTTTCTCTCATATCAATATTTCTCTCTGTTGCTCCCTCTCTCTTCCACTCTCTTTAAAAATCAGTGGGAAAATATCCACTGGTGAGAATTAAAAAAAAAAAAAAAGATACAAGCTCAGTAAGTGGTAGCTATGATCATTATGATCGTTATGATTATTACAGGGCTCTAGTTGTATGTCACAAGGAAGAAAAGGTTTACTAAGACAGCCTCAGGGCATGAGTCCTCAATGCCAGAGGTCCAAAAGAGTGGGTCATGATCAGAGGCCTAGGCTAGACTTCTGGAAAGAAGAGTCTTGCTCTCAACACCACAGCTGGTGAGGAAAGTGGCCTTGGTCCCATCACTCTTTTATCTCTGGGTTTTTACTTCCCTTCTCTAAAGTGTGGGGATACTCATTCCTGCCTGAATGAAGTAACAGATATGTACTGTTCTCTCAAGTCCAAGAACATCCTCTTAAACTCAAAAGGGGCAGGAGACAAGGGAGAGAAACAGCATTGCTTTTCCAAAGCGTCTGTTTTGGGTCATCAGAGCCCAAGTTTCCAGTACCCTTTCTCTCTCCAAAGCCACCAGGGAGACTTCATTCATTCATGCTATCAGCTCTGCGGGAGTCATGCACACCATCACCAAGAACTGTAGCATGGGCGACTTTGAAAGCTGTGGCTGTGATGAGTCAAAAAATGGAAAAACAGGTAAGTTGGGCTCTCTAATGAGAGGAAGGGGAGAGGAGTGCAGAGCTGTGTGCCTGCCAAGATGACCATGACTCTTCTCCTGAGACTTTGTAGGGAACTGTACACAGAACTATTCTTTTCATATGTATAGGAGGCCATGGCTGGATCTGGGGAGGCTGCAGCGACAATGTGGAATTTGGGGAAAGGATCTCCAAACTCTTTGTGGACAGCCTGGAGAAGGGAAAGGATGCCAGAGCCCTGATGAATCTTCACAACAACAGGGCAGGCAGGCTGGTGGGTATGGGAGTCGGCCAGTCAGCCATCAGACTCAGTATTGGCAACAGCTTCATATCTGTACTGCTTTTCACAACTTACCAAGAGCTATCTCATATCCATGTTTCAGCCTCACATTACCCAGCCAGGACTGAGATGGTTACCCCCATTCTCTGGATGACAAACCTAGTTAAGGCCAAGCCAAGTGGCTTAATTAAGTCAATATAACTAAGAAGCATCATAGCCAGACAATGAACTCAGATCTTTTGGGATCTAGTCCTCTTATCACTAAACCTGGTGCTCTGGCTCCTCCACGGGCAGGTTTCTGAGAGCCCAGAATCAAAGCCTTGCTTCAGTGACTTAAAATTTTTAACCCTTTACCCAGCTGGTATGGCTCAATGGTTGAGCACTGACCTATGAACCAGGAGATCACAGTTTAATTCCCAGTCCGGGCACATGCCCAGGTTGCAGGCTCTATCCCCAGTGTGAGACATGCAGGAGGCAGCTAATCAATGATTCTCCCATAATTGATATTTCTATCTCTCCCTCTCCCTCATCCTCTCTGAAATCAATAAAATATTATTATTTTTAAAATATATTTTATTGATTTTTTTACAGCGAGGAAGGGAGAGAGACAGAGAGCTAGAAACGTCGATGAGAGAGAAACATTGACCAGCTGCCTCTTGCACACCCCCTACCGGGGATGTGCCCGCAACCAATGTACATGCCCTTGACCGGAATCGAACCTGGGACCTTTCAGTCCACAGACCGACGCTCTACTGCTGAGCCAAACCGGTTTCGGCAAATATTATTTTTTTAAAATATATTTTATTGATTTTTTTACAGAGAGGAAGGGAGAGGAGAGCGATAGAGAACCAGAAACATCAATGAGAGAGAGACAGTGACCAGCTGCCTCCTGCACACTCCACACCAGGGATGTGCCCACAACCAATGCACATGCCCTTGACCTGAATTGAACCTGGGAACCTTCAGTCCACAGACCGACGCTCTATCCACTGAACCAAACCGGTTTCAGCTAAAATATTATTTTTAAAAAATTATTTTTTAAAAAATTAGCCTGCTATATTTGGTCAAACATTTAATTAACTCCACTCTAATGCCTTGGCAGGGCCAGACCAAATGATTTCTCAGACCTTATGCAGCCCATGAGCCAGATGTTCCCAACCCTGCTAGGTATTCTGAACTAAGATCTGGAAGCAAGTTGGATTTAGAGCTAAGAGCATAGAAATTTCCCTTTGAACCTATATCTAGATGTCTTGGTTGCCTAGGGCAAGGGGAAGAGGTCTTAAACAATTACAGATGTGGGTAATTGCTTTGGGTAGAGGTTCAAACTCCAGGAGCTTCTTTCCCTCTGAGAGAGGGCCCAGAACACAAATCCAGACCCCACAAATACTCTAGCCCCCAGATTCAAAACAATATCAGTGCCAATGATCATATTTTCCTTTCTAATTTACAAAGTGCTTTCGGGATCATTCTTATTCCAGTTGGGCAGATAAAGCAACAAGCTCAATAAGAGATGAATTTTGGGCCTGGAGCCTTGGTTTCCTGACTCCAATAATCGATTCAACACTTGCCTACCTTTCTTTAAGAATCACTCAGGGGAGCTTTAAATTCACCAATACCAAGGCCCTTAAATCTTTGAACATTCTAATTGATAAGATCTGAAGTAGGACACAGGAAAAAAATATTTTTCATGGGCTCCCCAAGGTAATTCCAAGGATCCTCTAAAATTTGGTCTTTCCTATCCAGAGCAATTCTCTCACTTGTACTTTCTTTCTCTGTCTTTCTGTGAAGGCAGTAAGAGCCACAATGAAAAGGACCTGCAAATGCCACGGCATCTCGGGGAGCTGCAGCATCCAGACATGCTGGATGCAGCTGGCTGACTTCCGGGAGATAGGAGACTTCCTAAAGGCCAAGTATGACCAAGCACTGAAAATTGAAATGGTTAAGCGCCAGCTAAGAGCTGGGAACAGTGCTGAGGGCCACTGGACACCCAGAGAAGCCTTCCTTCCTAGTGCAGAGGCTGAGCTGATCTTTTTAGAGGAATCACCAGATTACTGTATCCGCAATTCCAGTCTGGGCATCTATGGCACAGAGGGTCGGGAATGTTTGCAGAACAGCCACAACACATCCAGGTGGGACCGACACAGCTGCAGGCGCCTGTGCACTGAGTGTGGCCTGCAGGTGGAAGGGAGGAGAACTGAGGCCATCAGCAGCTGTAACTGCAAATTCCAGTGGTGCTGTATAGTCAAGTGTGACCAGTGTAAGCATGTGGTGAACAAATACTATTGCACACGCTCCCTAGGCAGTGCTTGGTCTCGAGGCAAGGGCAGCACATGATAACACCCCACACAAACTTATTTGTTCAATTGAATGACAATGGAGGGGGACACAGCTTCTCTCTGGGACAGAGTAGATTGGAAAATCACAGGGTTGGTCTCGATATCTACAATACGTGGGAAAGTGGAGGCTCACGATTACATAGCATACTCTTAACAGAGTGTGAAATTGGAACCTGGGCCTCCTAATTTTATCTTCCCACAAGTTACTTCCTGGTTTTTGTACCTGTACTTTTGGAGGTTATTTGGTTTGGTATCCATATCCAGAGAGGCCTTTAAAGTAATGTTTCCCTGTAAGTTTCAGAACATGTTCAACCTAGCTGTGCTGCTGAGAACCAGAGGGAATGGAAGCAAAAAGTAACAGCATTCTTCCCCTACTCTAGCTAGCTCCCAAAAGACCAGCTACAAGTTCATGCAGACGAATACAGCAGAAACCACATACCTGCCTAGTGGGAGGCTTGTAGTTGGGTTTTTCACCTGTGTGTGCACTTTTGGAAATTTCTTCCCACCCAGTCCTGGGGGAGCCAGGATCCAACATGACTGAGGACATTTCCAACTCAGAAACCACCTTTGGACCTTGCAGAAGTAATAATGGTCCCAGTAAGTGGACAGGTGACTACAACTTATCTAGACAACCCCCACAAGAGAGACAACTCCCACGCAAAGAGCTGCAAAACGACTCTGTTTTGTTTTTCTCCCAGATTGAGAACTCAACTTTATTTTCCAATAAATGCTTCCAGAATGTATATCCAGCTGAGACCTTTTATTTCTCTCTTTGGAAAACTTAAGTTCAGAAAGGGAATGATGTATATCAATTATGCACAAAGCTAAGGGAGAAACCAGAACTATCCAATCACTTGACATCAGACAAATAATAAAATTGAGACTGAGAAACTGGCCAATCCAGATTCCCAGATTAAAAGGTGTTATTTTAATGCAATCTAAGCAACTTGAGGAACAAGGATGCCCTTTGAACTTGAACCATATTCAAAGTGTGTTTACTCTCTTAACTTTGGCTTCCTGGGGTGTCTGTACACCAAGAAACTGGGCCTCAGGGCAAGAGACTAGAAAAGTTGTGGATTCTACCTTCCTCATTTGCATTTCTACATCTTCCACTTGCAATCTTTGGGGGAGGAGTAGATTCCCCAAAAGAGTTTTAGGAGCTTAACTGATCTCCTAAATCTGAGCATCTCCACCTTGAGGGTCTCCCCTCTCAGCAAAGGCCACACCTAAGTTATTTTTAAATGCCAACAGGAAATAATTTATTTTTTAATGAAAAGGAAGGTGAAATGTCCATTAAGAAAGTTGGCATCTCAATAGACACCATGAGCTGGTGCCTTGAGAGCACTCCAGTGCTTTTAAAACTATCACAGATGCCAGAGACCAGAGACAATTTAGCCTATGTCAAAAAAGCAGAAACATTTCCTTTACCTCGCTCCTTCTAAGGAAGGTAAAAAAAACTACAATTAGTGACAGAAAGGAAGTGTGTGTGTGTGTGTGTGTGTGTGTGTGTGTGTGTGTGTGTGTGTGTTTGTAGAGATAGTAGAAGGGGGAATGGAAGAGATACTAAGCACAAAATTGTGGTGAATAAATAGGCAACCAAAAGGTTATTTCCCTGTGACTTGGAGAAAAAGAAAACCAAAAACATAAAATTACCTGGTCTTGAGGTTAAACCTCAATAAACATAGATGCCAATGAAACCTGAGTTGTGATGCTGTTAGGGAAATGAACAACATGGACTTTCTCCCTTTATTCCTAACTCAATCTCCAACCAAAGAACCCAAGTACCAGAGGCTTTGACATTTTCCCTGGGGTCTGGCTGACATTCCCAAATAACCCGAGAGGGGATTTTTAAAAAGAAAACCATCCATCCCTGCTGCCCTGTCCAAATTGTCACTCAAGAAGAACATGGTTGTATTCTCTATGGGTTTATATCTGATGTTTTCACTAATGAAACCCAGAGTAATTGGGAACTCTATGAAAAGTTCGTCAACTTCTCCAAAAAGCTCATAGTCCTTCTTCTTCAAGACTCTTCCATCCTCATTCATCTTACTCTCCTGACAATCAATCACATCAACCAATCTTCCCACATGGGCCCTGGGCCAGAAACTAAAGAAATTTGAATTTCTCTACATCCATCACCTTCTTGGCAGGGATTCATTCCAAAGCATTACAGTGTCATTCAGATTCATTCATTTCCATCCTACACCTCTTCCCTTTTGGCTCGTCCTTAACAAGCTGGCTATCATTAAGGTGCCAGAACATTAAAACCCCATGCTCAATAGGTTCAGGACCCAGGACAGGAAGATTGTCCACAATCTGGTGGTGGATTTGAAAACCTGCTGAAAAAGGAATCGACTCATTGAGGGAAACCCGTTCCTGAGCCTATTTCCATATTTCAGTAAATCCAAGTGCTGTGTTTCACGTCAACTGGAGAATAGAAGCCTGTATTTTCTCAATCTATATTAAAAAAGGAAATATGCTTATGCTTGTCAGGCCCCTACAAAGGTTCCCCCCAACTCCTCCTCCTCTTCCTCTTTCTCTTCCTCCTCCTCCTCCTCTTTCTCCTCTTCCTTCATTTGACTTTTGCTGTGCATAGAATTAGAGACTCCTAAGAAAATCCTGAGGCCTTTACCTAGAGTTTCGTCTGGTCTCTTGCCAATCTTCTTAGAGCTCGCTGGTGAGTTATCATACAGGTAAGGGTGAAAAGGAAGTAACTGAACACCTACTAAGTGTCACATGCTTAAAATATATTATCTCCTTTAATCCTCAATACTATTCTATTAAAAGGTTACAATTATTCCCCGCTTACTAGTGAGGAAACAGGCTCAGAGAAGTTAAGCACCCAACCTAAAATGAAACACAAGGAAATGAATTTGAATTCAGGTCTGCTATCAACTCTGGCTTATACACCACTTACACTCTGGGAGACCAGATATTCTTAACTGTCTTGACAGCTTTGTAGAATGACTACCATTCATATGCAGTGAAAGGTGTCCTCTTTCTCCCTCTTCTGCAAATAGGAGAGTCACATTTCTCAGCCCTTCTCCAGAATGAAGAAACCTAACTTTTGACATGCAAAGGCCTTCCTTAGAATGATAAAGCCAATAGCCTAACTCCTGCTGACTTGGGGAGGGCAGGATCCTGGTTCTCAGGGGGTACTCAATGAAAAAGGCTAACTATTATGGTCCATATTAGAGGTCAAAGTTTCAAAAGGAATATCAAAGGAGGGGTGTTTGTTTTAGAGGATAAAGGAAGAAAAAACAGGTTCCAGAGAAAGACAAATTTCTAGCCCCAGATCACAAACTACTTATAATTCTTGATCACAAAAGATAGTGACTTAGAACCAAAATAAATATGTATGTGTTAGGAGAAAATGAAATGAAAGCAAGGACTAAAGCAAATAATTCTAGAGGAAGTCAAAGATATTTGGATAAGACTCTACACCGCCTAATTCTGAGACATTCTGTACCATAGGAGGAAAGCTGGGTTTAGCCCTGAACACTTTCCATGGCTGGTGCTCTGCCCACCCTGTCAGGCTGCTGTTTTCAGCAGGAAAGGGATGTATTATGACCAATGGGAAGCATTAAATAAATTAGGCCAGTGCTATAGAAAGCTTCAGACTTTACTTTGGGTAATGAAGGTAAGGATGTGGGTAAGAGATGGGTGGGATGAAGGTAAGGGAAAGTCCTGATGGTGCATCATGTACAGGTAGGTCTGCACCTTCTCATTTCTTCACCAAGAACTTATTGCAGTCTATACCAGATCACTGATTCAACCACCTGCTTCTTAAGAAAAGAGTACTTAATTCAAAGCTGAAGGAAGAGAAGCACATTGTACACTGCTCTGAAAGACAGGGAGAGGGAAGCCATTTCTTCCCAACTTGGAAGTGCTTATTAGGACATTTGCTGAATGTCTAGCCTGCTATATTAGAAGCCTACCAAATCTCCTAGGAACTCTCATAGAGTAAAGTCTTCAAACACTTCTTTTCTCCAAGCCAAATAACCATAATTACTCCAGTTTTCCACTAGTTCTCTCTCATACTCTTTTTCTTAGACTATCTTCAAATGCACCTACTTTGGGTTTCTATGAGGAGTCAAGTGAGGTGTGTACGTTTCTCAAACCTCAATTGCCATCATGTCTTTGCCCTCAAGTATCGGGAAAAAAAAAATCTACCTACTTGGCTGTTACGAAGCTTTGATTGCCCTATCAGGCCCCACTTGCATTTCTACCTTGTCCAAGTTCATTTCCAATCTGTAAGAATTTTTATGATTTAATTTGAGCCAATTTGATGAAAACTGTCTGGAAGCAAAATCTCAATGGATTGAGAAAATGCTCAAGAGAATGGCAATTTTGTGCCTTGTTTTATACATTATCAAGGAATATACCAACCTAGAGTATGAATACCAGTGATGATTTGCTTTTAGTTAAGAAGTTTTAATTTCAGACCATTCTATTTGGATACTTTAGGTCTGAGCTTCTAAGGTGGTCATGCAGGCCTCCCACTGAAGCAAGTCCTACTTCATAAGGATGTCTCCTACACAGCAACTCTTCCATTGTAGTCCTAGCTGGTCCTTACAGCAAATTGGCCTAGAGGTCAACTCCTCCCAGTGATGCCAACAGCAATCAAGACTCAACTTCAACAAGACTGTACACATATAGGCATAGCAGGTTCAGCTCAGTGGATAGAGCATCGGCCTGTAGACTAAAGGGTCCTGGGTCCAATTCTATTCAAGGGCACAATGCCCAGGTCGCAGGCTCAACCTCAGGGCTTGCAGAAGGCATCCAATCAATGATTCTTTCTCATCACTGATGTTTCTATCTCCTTCTCCAACTACTTTCCTCTCCGAAATCAATAAAAATATATATTTTTTAAAAAGACTGTACACACAGCCCACACAGGGGTGCACCTGGAGTGCCCAGCTCAGGTGACAACTGGGGAAGCTGAGCTACTGGGCCCTACAGGAAACCTACTACACAAGGCTACTCTGCCAATTCCAG